ACCACTGCGTGTGGTGCTGGGGTGGGCTCTGCAGATGGGAGGGTTTTTTAAGAAGGAAAATCTGCGAATTCTTGCAATATTTGTCAAGCTGAGTGTGGTCTGTTTTAAACAACAGTGGCTCTGTTCCTATAAGGGAATTATCTTGTGCTTCCGCCTCCCAAATCACAAGTTACCTCCCCTGGCCCTGGGCCCTTCCTGGGGTTGGTTTGATGCCCCTCCCCAGGTGGGGAGTGCAAACTCAGAGAGGTCTGAGATGTGTCCTCAGAAGGTACCTTGGCCCACACCCTGATTTATAGATGGGGAAACTTGAGAGGCTGCTGGGAGGTTAGGATGCAGTGAGCCTCTTAGTGACGTAAGATCCAGTGGACCATGTACAGAGCAGCAGCTGGACTGAGGCCGACACTGGCTGAGTGCGGGGGAGACAACATAGCTCCCTCGTGAATGGGGCAACGTCACAGTGCACACCAAGTCACGTTTTGGGAGGCCTCTCTGGGGGAAGGACACAGGCCAGGGAGAGAGATCTCCTGTCTGGGGCTCAGTGTCCCCAGATGGGCCAGGAGGTGGCCTCCCAAAGGCCCGCTCTGAGCTCCCCCATCCATGAAATGGCTATTGGCCATGTGAAAATGCACCAGTTAACACGCGGGATTACCCTGCCTGGAAAACTTCTGAAGCATGGTGGGCCTGAAAAGATGGATACAAGGTCCTCAAGCCTCAGTGTGAAGGTGGCACTGCTGGCGGTTCCATGTGACTTGTAGGGGACAGTGGGAATGGTGAGGCTTCAGGCCAAATCTCCCTTCTGTCTCCGGGAAGATATCAGAACTGCCCAGGGGCCTTGGGAGTCTTTACAGGAGGGGAAACTGAGGTCTGGAGAATTTACTTAAACTTACACTCCAACTTAAGAGTCAAGACTGGGTAGCACATCTGTCTCCGAGACTCTTTCCAAAATCTTTGCTCCGTGGCATTGAAATAAGAAGGCGTCTCCTCCCAGGGAAGCTCGTGTTTAGGGAATGTGCAAGATGGTATTAAACCCCAAAGTCCCAACCCACCAGCCAACAAAGCCCAGGGCTTTGAGGCTAATTATGTGTTTGCCCATGAGTCATATAGACAGTTCTTGCTAAGGCGACCCAGAGCCAGAGCGCCGGGTCTGAGTGCTTCTCCTCCTGGGGAGGGACCACGTCAGAGTGCCCAGGTGAGCTGTGTGTCTGTTCTTCTGTGTACTGTGGGCTCAGTGAACTCCCCGGGCCCGCGACAGACGCCAGTCTGTGCCCCCTCCCAGGACACAGGCTGGTTGCTGCAGTGACTGAGAACGCGTTTGGCTGCTTGGAGGAGGAAGGTGTAATTAGGGTAGCTTTGTGGGACTTTAACTGGCATTTGTCATGGCTACCAAGCGGTGCAGGGCAGCGTGGGCTATTAGGCCGCTGTGTACTGGGCTCCCGAGGGCCTCGGGCTGCCATGGACGCTGGCCACCCTTACTGGAAATCTAAGGGCCTGCCCGGGTCCAGCCCTACTCCTACGGTGCCTCCCTCTGGGACCAGCTCTGAAGCTGGGTTTGGAGTGGGCTCCCCAGAGGTCCTTTGGAACGTCAGTGTCAGCTGCAACAACAAGTGCTGGCAAGTAGGACCACTGCGTGTGGTGCTGGGGTGGGCTCTGCAGATGGGAGGGTTTTTTAAGAAGGAAAATCTGCGAATTCTTGCAATATTTGTCAAGCTGAGTGTGGTCTGTTTTAAACAACAGTGGCTCTGTTCCTATAAGGGAATTATCTTGTGCTTCCGCCTCCCAAATCACAAGTTACCTCCCCTGGCCCTGGGCCCTTCCTGGGGTTGGTTTGATGCCCCTCCCCAGGTGGGGAGTGCAAACTCAGAGAGGTCTGAGATGTGTCCTCAGAAGGTACCTTGGCCCACACCCTGATTTATAGATGGGGAAACTTGAGAGGCTGCGCTGGGCTTGCCAGGTTATGGGCACTTTAATTTAATCTCTAATACTTGGGTGACAATACCATTTTGAAGCATTCTGGGCCTAGAAGCTGAGTACTGCGTGGCTTATAACCAGAAGTGACGCTTTACCTTTGGTAAGTCAGTCCAGGGAGTGGATCTCTCTCACATACATATCAAGGGGATGGGCGAACACCCACTGCAGTCTGCATGGACTCCCTGGGAGTGCAGACACTATTGTCCTGGTAGATGGCTCTCATGTCCTTGCTCTGACACCCAGCCTTAGAATCCTAACTTCTTGGGGATGAACAGGACACCAGCTGTCATCCAGCTCAGTACTCTACCCAGTGTAGGAACCTGTTCTCCAGCATCCTTACCAAGTAGTTGCTCAGTTTCTATTTGAACACTTTCAGTGACGGGGAGCTTACTACCTTATAAGTTTATCCATTCTGATTCTGACAAGCTGTCTTTGGTGATGAACTGAAATATGTGACCCCATAGCTTCTGCACACTGGTTTGGACCTTGGGGGCCACATGAGTAAGGCTGCTTTCTTTATCCCAGGTCAGCCCTTGACATATATTAAGAAAGTGCTTGCAGATTCTTCACATCTCTTCTTTTGGCTATTCATCCACAGTTCCTGCAGTGGATGCAAGGATGTTCTGGTGTCTGCATCCCTTCACCCTCCTCAAACTCTTCGCCAGAAGCCTTTCAGGAGACTAGTTTATCACTGGTTTTCTTCAAGTTCAGGGTGAAAGTGAGAACAGCACTGTTGATGTGGACTGATGAGGGCAGTGTAGAGGAGGACAATCACCTCCTTTATTCCATACTTCGCACTTCTATTAATGCAATCTACAATCACATTAGCTTTTGTGAGCAGTCTTCCTTCTCTGTTGCCATCAATTAAAAAGCCCTGACATCTAAGGGTGGATGTTAATTCACTTTTTCAGTGCCCCCTATCTAAGCTGTTCATTTTCTGCTCTCAAGTTCTGGATCTGACATTTGCCTATACAAGTTCATCCTTTTAAATGTGTCCATAGCTTATTCTGGCCCCCTTTCCTTTTCATCTTGATTTCATTAGTCAAGTTGTTATTTTTCTTTCTTCTCTCTACAGTTTTACGTACTTATTTGAGTCTTTGAAGGTAAAGCACAGCAGGTCAGGGCTTGGACGGGCTGTGACTAAGGCAACAGTCAAGGTCTGGGGTGGGATGAACTTGCGTTCTGTCCTGAGAGTAAACTTTTTGGGGGCAGGGGAGGGTTGCACTGAGTTGATACCAGGTAGGGAAGCCAGGACTATTCAGAGTTATGGACCAGACTCAGGACCCCACGAGTTCCCAGGAACAAAGAGAGGTCAAGGAAATACCTTGTCTACCCAGTCAGTTTATGGTGTTATAGACCATCATTTGAAATTCCTTCCTCTGACTCAGGACCTTTGCTCATTAAAAGGAGAGGCACTGCATTAACAGTCAAAGTTTTCATCCAGGTATCTGAAGATCTTGGCTTGAGGCTTTAAGCCTCACTTTCCCTGCTTCCTATGTCCCTTAAAATGATGGGAATGCATGATCGGCAGTTCTTAACCCTTTGGGAGTTAGAGACCTCTTTGAACCTCAGATGGAAGTTACAGATGCTCTCCACATACACAGAAATCCTTCATCCCTTGACTAAGAATGTCAAGGTTAAAAGCACTTTAAGGCCTTCCTGCCTGCAAGAGTCTATAAGGGCATATTGTGGGTGAGCTTGGCACATACTCACACATTTTCACAATGCTATACAGATCACCCCCACAGCCTTTCTCCTATCTGCCCCTCACAATGGCCCCAGGTGGGGACAGTGGTTATTGACATCACTGAGGGTGAGGAAGCTGAGCCTGCAGGCCTCAAACTTCATTCAAGATCTAACAACTAGTTAGTGGCTCTTAAAGAGTCACATAGGGCCCAACTCCCATGCCCCATTCTCCATTTTCTATACAGTTTATAGGCCTGAACTCAAATACAAAAACTTCCATGACTTTGGATCCATTCTCGGATCAGTACCATGTCTGAGGGAACATTTAGCATGTCCGACTCTTTGTGAGCCCCTGGACCATAAACCCACCAGGCTCCTCTGTCCTTGGAATTCTCCAGACAAGAATACTAGAGTGGGTAGCCATTCCCGTCTCCAGGGGATCTTCCTGACTCAGGGATCAAACCAGGGTCTCCCATATTGCAGGCAGATTCTTTACTGTCTGGGCCACCAGGGAAGCCCTCTCAGTTCAAAGTACATCCTAAGTTTTCTGGGACTTACTCAAGGCCACTCAGTGTTTCTTTTGGAAAGTGGGCCTGGTACCCAGAAGTCAGACTCCAGACATCAGCTGACTCACAGCAGTCCTTTCAGTGAGACAGGAAGTGGTGTGGATAATTTCCTTTTATTGGGAAGGTGGTTTGCATTAAACCTAGATGAAGCACCTGTGAAAGGGTGAACACAGGGGCAGGCTGTTGCTGGTGGTGATGGGGCAGGGCGGGGCCCAGGAAGAGCAAAAACTGAGCTTCCCTGCAGTCTTTTCCACCAGGTCACTGCATGGTCCCACTCTGCTGGCTGCCGCAGCTCCTCCCAGCAGCCTCCGTGTTCATGGCCTCAGCATCTTCCCCCGGGTTCAGGCCCGGTTTATGTGTTCTCATTTCCTGTTGGTTTCTCCTGAGGAAGCCATGTTCAGCCAGCAAGTCCAGGAACTGAGAGGGACAGAGATGGATACGATACTGCTCCTGACTTAAGGAACTCGTCGGGATGGGGCACCAGCAGCCCTGCCCTTGTGAAGCCTACCGAGTAGTGAGGAGGCAGACGGGGTCACAGGGGATGCCGCATGTGGCCTCTATGGCTGGGTTGGGAGGGAGGTTGGGAAAACCACCGGCATTGGAGGGCGACTGAAGCCGACTCATGGAATCCTAAGGTGGCGGCTCATGAAGTGCAGGAAAGATTTGGATGAGGATGAAGACCCCTCTAGGTTGGGGAGATTGCTTGAGCAAAGGCCTGGAAGTAGGGAGGCCAGCGGGAAAGATGAAGAGGCTTGCAGATCAAGCTATAGGTAGCACGAGATGGGCACATGGCCATGGGGTTCAAAGGCAAGCCGGTGTTTGGCACCCAGGGTTGATGCTGGCTTCAAAGTAGCTGCCGTGTCGGTGAGGCAGTCCTGACCCATGTACTCTCTCTCCTTTGCAGAGGCCATGCCACTGAAACATTATCTCCTTTTGCTGGTGGGCTACCAGGCCTGGGCTGCGGGCTTGGCCTTCTATGGTTGCCCAAGCGAGTGCACCTGCTCCAGGGCCTCCCAGGTGGAGTGCACGGGGGCGCGCATCGTGGTGGTTCCCACCCCGCTGCCCTGGAACGCCATGAGCCTGCAGATCCTCAACACACACATCACTGAACTCAATGAGTCCCCGTTCCTCAACATCTCAGCCCTGATTGCGCTGCGGATCGAGAAGAACGAGCTGGCCCACATTGCTCCCGGTGCCTTCCGTAGCCTCGGTTCGCTGCGCTACCTCAGCCTTGCCAACAACAAGCTCCAGATCCTGCCTGTTGGCCTCTTCCAGGGCCTGGATAACCTCGAGTCGCTCCTGCTGTCCAGCAACCAGTTGGTGCAGATCCAGCCGGCCCACTTCACCCACTTCAGCAACCTCAAGGAGCTGCAGCTTCACGGCAACCACTTGGAGTACATCCCTGATGGGGTCTTCGACCACCTGGTGGGCCTCACCAAGCTCAATCTGGGCAAGAACAGCCTCACTCACCTCTCACCCCGGGTCTTCCAGCATCTGCGCAACCTCCAGGTCCTCCGGCTGTATGAGAACAGGCTCTCAGACATCCCCATGGGCTGTTTTGATGGGCTCAGCAACCTCCAAGAGCTGGCCCTGCAGCAGAACCAGATTGGAGTGCTGTCCCCTGGCCTCTTCCACAACAACCGTAACCTCCAGAGGCTCTACCTGTCCAACAACCACATCTCCCAGCTGCCCCCCGGCATCTTCCTGCAGCTGCCCCAGCTCAACCGGCTCACGCTCTTTGGGAATTCCTTGAAGGAGCTCTCTCCCGGCATCTTTGGACCTATGCACAACCTGCGGGAGCTGTGGCTCTATGACAACCACATCACCTCCCTCCCCGATAATGTCTTCAGCAGCCTCCGCCAGCTGCAGGTCCTGATCCTCAGCCGCAACCAGATCAGCTACATTTCCCCGGATGCCTTCAACGGGCTGGTGGAGCTGCGGGAGCTGTCCCTCCACACCAATGCCCTGCAGGAGCTGGATGGAAGCATCTTCCGCATGTTGGCCAACCTGCAGAACATCTCCCTGCAGAACAACCGTCTTCGGCAGCTCCCTGGAAACCTCTTCGCCAACGTCAATGACCTGTTGACCATCCAGCTGCAGAACAACCAGCTGGAGAACCTGCCCTTGGGCATCTTTGATCACCTGGGGAAGCTATGTGAGCTGCGGCTCTATGACAACCCCTGGAGGTGTGACTCAGACATCCTTCCACTCCACAACTGGCTCCTGCTCAACAAGGCCAGGCTAGGGACAGACAGCCTCCCTGTGTGTTTCAGCCCAGCCAGTGTCCGTGGCCAGTCCCTCATCATCATTAATGTCAATGTTGTTGTCCCCAGTGTCCAGGGCCCAGTGGTGCCCAGCTCCCCAGAGACGCCGACACACCCGGACACGTCCAGCTACCCTGACACGTCCAGCTACCCTGACACCACCTCCATCTCCTCCACCACTGACTTCACCAGCCCCTCAGGGGACTACACTGATCTGACCACCATCAACATCACCAAGAGTCGTGACGAGGGGGGCATGACCCCGGCCCAGAGCGGGCTGGCCATTGCTGCCATTGTCATCGGCATCATTGCCCTGGCCTGTTCCCTGGCTGCCTGCATCTGCTGTTGCTGCTGCAAGAAGAGGAGCCACGCAGTCCTGATGCAGATGAAGGCACCCAATGAGTGTTAGAGAGGAGGGCTGGAGTAAGGGCTGGGGGACAGTGGGACCCCCAGAGGACCCGGGATTTCACTGTGCTGCCTCCACCTCTGGGTCCACACACCATCCCCTGTCCCTGTCTCTCGGGTCCCCTAGAGAAAGGCACCCCTACCTTCTCCTGACCTGCCTGGTTCTCCTGTAGACAAGATTCTGGCAGAACCTTCTTACTACCAGGGAGATCTAACCTGCCATGGAAAAAAATCCTGTAGTGGTCCCAATTCACATCCCTGGGCTTCTTTCAAGAAAGCCCCTCCTCTAAAGCTCACCAGCTCTCCTCCAAAACTTGCCTCCTCTGTGTCTGTGCCCCTGTTGGCCTCTGTAGACACAGTTACCACACACCTGCCACTTTGTGGGAACAGTTCTCCACCGGGACCGCCCCTCTCCCAAGTATTATGTAAGTTGATTCCCCTTCTTTGCTCCTCTTGTTTGTGGCATGGCTCCACCCTGTCCCCTCAAATGAAAAGTCTCTCTTCATTTCCTGCTCCTGAAGGCAAGGTGACTTTTCTCCTCAAAGGAGGCTTCAAACCTTTTAGTTGCTTGTTCAAGAACTGCCAAATGCCCTGGCTTTCAGGATGCTATGAGAGAGAGAAAGGGAAAACTGAGGCTGCTCAGTTCCTGAAGGCAGAGCCATCATCAGTATCTCTCTTGTGATTTTTATCTGGAAAAGGAAGAAAGGCACCAGTGCAACAAGTTTTGCCTCTTTAGAGAATATTTCTGAACTGCAAACTTTGCTTTGAAAATTTTAGTCCTTTAAGGAATAAAATCATGTAGAAGTTCTGACCTCCCTAAAACATGAAAGTCAGCTTATTGGTATTGGATGGAGAAAGCAATCTGGTACCTGGGGGTCCTTGTGTTCACCTGCAAGGTTTTTCTCTTTTAACTGTTTCTGGAAGTGTAACCTACATACAGAAAAGTGGGAACATGCTAGTGTATAGTTTGATGGATTTTCACAAACTGTACATACCTGTGTGATTAGTACCCAGTTCAAGAAATGAGACATCACCAGGATCCTCCATCTGGGCCTTTTACTGGAGAAGACTGGGGCTTGTGGAGGTGGTATGGACTTAACCTGGGAACTGTCTCCCCACAGATCAGGATGGGCCCCTGCCTGCCCTCCCTTTTCTGCAGCCTGTCCTTGCAAAGGCCCAGCTACCAGCGGTGGAGGAAAAGATGTAGGTATACTCTGGCCTGAGCAGGAGATTGTATTCAATGCCAGACCTTCAGGCACCCAGACTGGCCAGGTCAGAAGCATCTCAACTAGAGAGGTCCATGCAACCACACACCCTACACTGCCAACAAGCTGTCTGTTGCTCATTGGAGGTTCCTCTGCTTGGGCCTTTTATGGGCATGAGATGCCCTATATCTGTTTTTAATTTTCACTCTGCATCTGGGGAAGTGAAATAGCTCAGAGATGAGATCCTTTAATTGGACAGCCAAGTATAATAGAACCCAGCAATCCCTCTGGTCGTGGTAAAATTCTTCATAGACATTACAGTCAGCTAGAAACTGAACTTCAGCATTCTCACACATAGCAGGCAACACGGATTCAGACAGATCAGACTGGGTCAGGGACCTCTCTGAAGCTTCTCCCTGCCTGTAGTCTGGTTACAAGAGTTGAGTGCTTTGGTTCAGTGTTGCAGTCACATGAATGCCTGCCCTGGCCACCATTCCTGCTGCACACATATTCACACTGGTAAAGAAAGTACACTCATAGCAATGCATGTCTTTCTCTGGACAACTGGTAGACCACTTTAGAAGTACAAACAGTGAAATGGAGACTTTCAGGTGTCTGTGTCTGCCCAGAAAAGAGCTGTAGCCAATACTGTACAGATTTGGAAATCTGCCATCAATCCTTACTGGCCTTTACTAGTTTCCTCTGCCCCATGAGACAAATAAGAAATACACTTCGGCCTTAACAGCATGGTGCTGACAGGTCCCGACGAAGAGTCCAGGAACACGTGTGTTAAGAACTAGTGCATTTTGTAGCTTTTTGCTCTCTGTCACAGGAAATCTGGGGGAGATGTTGTTAGAGGCAAAAGATATTATCTCCCCAAGGCAAATCTGGGTCTCCAAAATGTTTTCAAAATATTTATAGTACCTGGCAGACATGTACCAGCGTTTGCCAGGGTCTAAAAGGAAATGAGCCTAGAGCTTGGGGCTTGAGCATCATTCCCAATGGTCACCTGCCTTGTTGATTCTGGTTACAAGAGTTGAGTGCTTTGGTTCAGTGTTGCAGTCACATGAATGCCTGCCCTGGCCACCATTCCTGCTGCACACATATTCACACTGGTAAAGAAAGTACACTCATGGCAATGCATGTCTTTCTCTGGACAACTGGTAGACCACTTTAGAAGTACAAACAGTGAAATGGAGACTTTCAGGTGTCTGTGTCTGCCCAGAAAAGAGCTGTAGCCAATACTGTACAGATTTGGAAATCTGCCATCAATCCTTACTGGCCTTTACTAGTTTCCTCTGCCCCATGAGACAAATAAGAAATACACTTCGGCCTTAACAGCATGGTGCTGACAGGTCCCGACGAAGAGTCCAGGAACACGTGTGTTAAGAACTAGTGCATTTTGTAGCTTTTTGCTCTCTGTCACAGGAAATCTGGGGGAGATGTTGTTAGAGGCAAAAGATATTATCTCCCCAAGGCAAATCTGGGTCTCCAAAATGTTTTCAAAATATTTATAGTACCTGGCAGACATGTACCAGCGTTTGCCAGGGTCTAAAAGGAAATGAGCCTAGAGCTTGGGGCTTGAGCATCATTCCCAATGGTCACCTGCCTTGTTGATCCTGGGCCCCAAAGGGGAAGTGTGGCCTACTCTCCCCCAGACAGGAAGCATGGTTTAGCACTGAATTCCTCAAAGGACTCCTTGTAAGGTGGCCCCAGCATCTCATTGTGCAAGGGTACAAGTGGGCCAGAGATATCAGAAAGGTAAGGAAGGAGTCTTCGTCATCCAGTGTGCCCTGTCAAGCTGAACCCAGGACCTCTGGGTATTGATAGCATTGGCCATGACCTTGGAATATCTTCCTCTCTGGTCTAAGATACCTCGTGTCTCCAGATCAAAGGCTGACCTGAGGGCAGCTGTCCTCAGATAAGTCCCCTGGAAAGCACCCTGGGTGGAGCTGGTGGACCCTTTTCCTGATCTTCTGAGCGTCCCTGGTCCTTTTTCCCATCAGAGGCTGGAGGGAACCATTGAGCCTCCTCTTCCTTGGCAGGCCATGTGGTCTCTCTAAACCATGTTGTCTGGTCAGGAAGCTACCAGAAAAGGTGGGTGGAGTTTCGTTTCCAACAGGCTCTTGGCTCTTGGCATTTGCTCACTTCTTGGGGCTGAAGTGAGCTGCTTGGTTCCCCAGAAGTTGAGTTCATTTTTCCCCGTAGCTCATTGGCCTCTAGTCCTCTTTGTCAGTTCTCCATTTGGAGTGGAGGGTCAATATTGGAGGAAAGATAATAAAAACCGGTTAGAACCACTGTTTTTCAAAAATGTTTTACTCTGTATAGATACCCTTCAAAGCACTTAGCGGGCATTTTCTTTTTAACCCTCACAACAGCCCTGTGCAGGAGTGGTACACGTGTGAGGATCTAAAACCTCTTGTCTCCTGCAACATTATTTAACAGGCTGTGAGTGTTCCTTCTCTCTTTAAGCTCATACAAGAATTCATGGCCTGTCCTCGGCTTTCATTGCTAAACCCAGGAAAATGGGAGTCACTGTCTTATTGCTCCCCGTCATCTTAGCTATTTGACCCCACCTGGTACTGTGTGGACCCAAAGCTTTGTAAATACAGGAAAAGTTAAATTCATCCATCCATTAAAGAAAAACTGGCTTTCCTCAAGGGAATGTTGGGCTGCGTGTATATTGTTCCTCCTCGTCGGGATTTAAAGGCACAACACTGTTCTCAGAACCCTTCACGGGCAGCAATGGTGTCACAGATGTCTGTGTGGTGCAGTGTTGGGAATCATTTCTAGACTCAGGAAGTTTATGAGGAGGAGGCAGCTGCAGACAACTAGGTAACTGGAGTTGCTAGAGAGACATGGGAGGCAGCCTGCCTTTAGCTATGAATGACTCAAAGAAATCGACCTACAGATCCCACAGTTAGAGCTGAACTGGAGTTGCTGGGGAGGCAGTGGTGGTCTTGGGGAGGAGGTCATGGCTGTGGTTCAGAGAGGAGTGGGGTGGGCACTCCTTCAGGCCAAACTCCTCCCAGTCTGAGCTTTTTTCTTCACCCAAGGAGAGATTGTTCTCACCAACCCATCGCCTTCGTGCTGCCTTCAAATGTGGATCGATTTTGCCTCACTTAGGGAATCACTGCAAATAGTCATAGGTGCTTGGTGATGCATTTAGAGCTTTCTAGGCCCCCAGGGTTTTATAGAGTGTGAGCCCTGGTGGGCAAGGTGGGGGGGGGGGTCCCATCTTTGCTGGATACTGCTTGTAACAGATTTGGAGTACAGAATCAACAATAAATGGTATACACAGGACACATGTGCTCCTATGGGCGCCTGATTCTATGCTTGTCACACGAATGCAAGGCTGACCCAGACAGCTCTTCACAGATACCAGATATTCAGGGCTGGGAAAGGCCTTTGGAAAGTGAGTGGGATCAAAATGTTGTCTAGAGGTCGCTAGACAGAGGTCACTGTGGCTGGATGGGGCCTTAGGAATAGGCTCAACCCATTTTATAGATGGAGAAAGTAAGATCAGGACAGGAAATGAATTTCTCATAGTCACCTAGTGAACTAGTGGCTGAGCTTGCAAGACAACCAGGCTTCCAGACTCCCAACCTAGAGCTTCTTCTATGTCTCAGAAAGGCAGTGAATTTCCCTCAGCGTTCATCAAAGTGTGCATGCATTCACATTCATGGACACACACGTGCACACTAGCTTTGGTGGGTAGGACTCTCCTGCACATGTCTGGACTCTTACAGTGCTTAGCACCCAGGCTCAGTGAGCCCCGGGCTCTCAGAAGACACTGTGTGAGTAAAGGTGACTTTTCAGGTGTCCAGAAGTCCCTGGGACCTTTTCAGGCCTCCAGGTTTGGGGGCTGTCACCGCTGCTGGTGCAAGTCCAGGGTTTATGAGGAGGGTAATGTTTTCTCTGTCCCTTCATCTCACTGCCATGTCCAGGAAGAGGGCTTCAAACCATGTTTCCTGGGCTCTCTTAGCTCTTCAGTCCCTTTCCCAACCTAGAGCTTCTTCTATGTCTCAGAAAGGCAGTGAATTTCCCTCAGCGTTCATCAAAGTGTGCATGCATTCACATTCATGGACACACAGGTGCACACTAGCTTTGGTGCGTAGGACTCTCCTGCACATGTCTGGACTCTTACGGTGCTTAGCACCCAGGCTCAGTGAGCCCCGGGCTCTCAGAAGACACCGTGTGAGTAAAGGTGACTTTTCAGGTGTCCAGAAGTCCCTGGGACCTTTTCAGGCCTCCAGGTTCGGGGGCTGTCACCGCTGCTGGTGCAAGTCCAGGGCTTATGAGAAGGGTAATGTTTTCTCTGTCCCTTCATCTCACTGCCATGTCCAGGAAGAGGGCTTCAAACCATGTTTCCTGGGCTCTCTTAGCTCTTCAGTCCCTTCTGCCAGCTGTAACCCTGTCCCAGGAGGCTGGAACTGGCGAGGGTCAGTAGTGTGTTCACTGTTTCACAAAGCTGGACCCTATCAATTACTGGGACAGGGCTTTGTGTACCTTCCCTAACCACTGAGCCTGTCCACTCAAGATGGAAGCCTGGAATTCCAACAGTGGAAAAACAGTGAGCGCCTACCTCCCATCTCCCAGAAGATGCCTGGAGTTCTTAATACAAGCCTGCCCTCCACACCTGCACAACTGCCCAGGGTCCTGCCAGCAGCACAGACCTGCTGTTTGATTTCACACAAGTGTGTATGAATGAACACACACACACACACACACACACACACACACACACTCGTCACTTTGCTCTGCAGCTGCTGCATGAACACCTTCAAGGCCAGAAAATCACTACCTCCTTATGCAACTGCTTTCATCCTTGGATAATCTCAGTAGTGAATGTGTTCCTGTCCATACTGAGCCAAAATTCACCTCCCACTATCACTTCCCCCTTTTAACTCAGAAGGGGTTTAGAAACGCAAGCAGTCAATAAACAACTACAGAAGGACGGCAAACCTGCAGCCCTCTTGGGATTTCTCCTGGCACTGAGGGTCTGCAGGGGCCTGTGGCTGGCTGTCTAGCTGTGGTCAGCCTGACTTGCACAGGAAGGGTTATAAGTTTTAACCTCTGATCCCAGTGATCATCCCAGAGCAGCCTACTGGGAACCTAGGACCTGGTGGATGTCCTTGGGGTCCTAAAAGTGCCAAACTGTAACCTTGGCTGGATTTTGGCCCCAATGGGGATCTGTCCATGGGAAGAGTTCAGGGTCATTTTGTAATCTTTAGAGGCCTTGCCTAGACTCTCTCCTGCTGTCCTGTGACGCTGATGATATTCCAGGAATGCTCAGGCCACGTGAGGGGAGGAACCTCTGCCTGGAACTTTGATCAGCACCAGGGCTGCTGGGTTCGTGCTGACCACTGACCAACCCAGAGGCCCTTCTGCTCCAGAGGAAGAGCCAGGGCAGCTGGTCCCCACCTGTCAGCCCCTCACGGTACGGTCACTACAAGACTACTGGGGCCATGGGGGCATGGGAGGAATCTGGGGCCCCAGCTCAGGGGCGGGAGGTGGGCTGGTCACTTGTCTCAGATTTCAGAGCATATCCCTGACACCAGGCAGGCTGCACCTCTGTGCCAGGGTAGGGGAAGTCCTTGAGGGCTTCCCAGCCAGGGTCGTGCTGGGCTGGGACTGGAGGCAGGTTGTGGTGGGGGAGTCCGAGATGAAGGTGATCTGGTCCCTGTGCTCAGAGAGCTCCCAGGAAGGATAAGTAGTGTGACCATATGTCCCAATTCGCCTGACACCACCCTTGTTTATGCCAGTCGTCCTGGCATAAACAGTCAGACACGGCTTAGTGACTGAACAACAACAACAAAGTCACTAAGTTGTATCCAACTCTTTTGTGACCCCAGGGACTGTAGCCCGACAGGTTCCTCTGTCCTTGGGATTTCTCAGGCAAGAATACTGGAGTGGGTCACTATTTCCTTCTCCAGGGGATCTTCCTGACCCAGGGATCAAACTCATGTCTCCGCCATCACAGGTGGATTCTTTACCACTGAGTCATC